CCCTGTGTGGCTGACTCCTTGTCATCAATGTTTCTTTTTGGTCTTTGGGCCACATCCAGGGATGCTCAGGGGTTATCTTGGCCTGTATTCAGGAATCGCACCTGGTGGAGCTCAGGGGACCTGGCTGTGTTCAAGGTTTACTCCTGGTTCTGCACTCAGGAATCACTCCTGGTGGGGATCAAGGGACCATATGGGGTACCAGGAATCAAACCTGGGTCTGCCACATGCAAGGCAAGTGCTTTATTTGTACTATCTCTCTGCCCCCCCTAAAAAGTTCTTAAATAGGGAAATTTTCTTTTATCTCTTTAAGTGACCCTCCAAGTGAAAATGAGGCATGGGGATTTAGACAACCTCAGTGGTGGTCATTTAACTATCCTTAAAGGGAAAGGACAGGAAATATGTGTCAGGTTTGGAAAGAAATGAACCCACAGGGGCCCCTGCTGGACAGGGAACTCAAAAGCTATTTCTTGGGGTTAGAGACATGCAGGGTGTGTAGGGCACTTACCTTGCAAGCTGACCCCAGTTTGATCTTTGATACCTCATATGGTCTCCCAAGTACTGGCAGGAGTTATTCCTGAGCACTGAGCCAAGAGTAAGCTTTGAGTATGATAAGAGTTACCCCAAATTCCCCCACTCCCAAAAAATCTATTTCTTGTGGAAAGTTCGCACATACTGAGGAAGACAGATGGTAATGCAGGATTTCTGCTGGTTGATACAAGTTGCAAGTTTGGCTTATAACATTTTCAGGAATTTTCCTAGACCATTGCATTTTTTTGTTTGTTGAGGAATTTTCCTAGATCATTGGAGCGATAGCACAGCGGGTAGGGCGTTCGCCTTACACGCAGCCAACATGGCCGACCCGAGTTCGATTCCTCCGCTCCTCTCGGAGAGCCCGGCAAGCTACCGAGAGTATTCGATATGCCAGACACAGTAACAACAAAGTCTCCAATGGAGACGTTACTGGGCCCGCTCGAGCAAATCGACGATCAACGGGAGGGCCTTTACCTTTACCTTTTATTCTTGGGTTTGGGGACAGGGGTGGGGGAGTTAGTTTGGGGAAACACCCAAAATGGTGCTCAAGGGTTACTCCTGGCTCTGCACTCAGAGATCACTCCTAGTGGGCTTGGGACCATATGGGATGCCATGGATTGAACCTGAGTCAGCTGTGTGCAAGATAAGTGCCCTGCCCATTGTACAGCTGTGTGCAAGAAAAAACTCCCTGCTCATTTTACTATCACTCTGGCCCCACCTAGACCATTGTTGAGCCACTGGCAGGTCTTTATGTCGCAAAAATTGATAACCTTTACAATTTCTTTCTGATTTGCTTCCGTATCACAAAAAGATATAGAAAGGAAAAAAATCATGCTGGGATGAAAGAATTAAAGGAAACAGTAACCAATAATCTTATCATAAAGTCAGGGGCCCAGAATAAGGGTAATATCTCAAAGGGCAGGAGTGCATGCCTTGCATATGCGAGCCTTGAGTTCAATCCCTGGTACAACATGGACCCTGGCACCACTTGCAAGACCCCCAAGGACTGCAAGTTAGGACCACCAAAAGGAAAACTACAAAATAAAAAGGTCTTGGGATCCCAGAGGGATTTGCCCACTACTCACATAGCGAATGTCTGATCATGAGCAATGTCACTCACTCTGACTCATGACTCAGTGAACACCCTACTTGGGCTCCAACAGAGAACCTTATGTGTCAGCTCCCTGTCAGCCATAACCAACAGCCCAGTCAGGAACTGTGGGAAGGAAAATCTATGTCAGAGTTTGAAGTGAAAACACCATGATGGGGGGCTGGAGCGATAGCACAGCAGGTAGAGCATTTGCCTTGCACGTGGCTGACCCAGTTCAATTCCCAGCATCCCATATGGACCCCCGAGCACCACCAGGAGTGATTCCTGAGTGCAAAGCCAGAAGTAACCACTGTGCATCACCGAGTGTGACCCAAAAAGCAAAAAAAAAAAATTAATAATAATAATAATAATAATAAACACCATCATGGAAAGCCAGAAAAGCAGGGGTTCCAGGAAGGCAGCCCAAACACAGTGAGGGAGTCAGGAAGGTCGAATGAGGATGAGGTGGGGTATGGTGCCGCCAGCAGGTCAATCTGTACCTGTGAGGCGAGTGCATAAGAAGCCTGATGGTGCCTATAGACTTCCAGATACCACAAAATTGCTGCTGTGCCTTTCGCCAGACCCCAACAACTTGGGACAAAGTTTACCAAGAAAGTAAATGGCCAAAAGTTAGGTATTTGGGAGATACACCCACAAACCACCTCCAGTTCAGCTTTTGGAGGCATGGCCTCTCTGGTTCCTTATCAAACTGCTTAACGGCCATGATCCCAGAGACTCAGAAACAAATCTCAAAACCCAATGGCTTTTGGCAGAAATGCGTCAGTCCCTGCAGTAGGTTACCGACGCCGGGCCACTCCAAGGGGAAAAGGGTGCTGTCCCTCCACCTGCTCCCCCTAGGCGGCCCGGCGGCCATCATCTTTCAGAGGCCACTGGGCAGTCAGGTTTGGGCCCACAGTGACGAGACATGTGGGCCTCACAGGATGGGGGTGGAACTGGCCCTTCCTTCCTAGCCACGTGACATTGTATGTTATTCATAACCAGCAATAGAAAACAAATTATCTATGGTTGCCTTTTTGGCAGATCTGAGTGTTGGGATAAAATCCCAAATAATAATGGTGAGTCTGGTGTCAAAATATTGAATGTAATCCAAGTAGAGAGAGAGTAATGTGGAAAACATCTGCCCCACAGGTAGGGGGAGGGTGTGGGATGGGGGTGTATTGGGGGTTTTGGTGGTGGAGAATGGGCACTGGTGAAGGGACAGATGTTTCATTGTATGACCAAGACTTAAACCCAAAAGGATTATAACTGCTCTCACGGTGATTCAATAAATAAAATTATAAAAATTATATTAAAAATTATAAATTATAAAAAAATGGAAAAAAAAGTAAGGTGGAGTTCATGCCCAATTCAATCAGCTAATCAGTGGCTGAATAAATAGCAGTACTTGCTGGTGGGAATGCCGACTGGTTCAGCCCTTTTGGAAAACAGTATGGACGATTCTAGAAAAATTAGAAATTGAGCTCCCATTTGACCCAGCAATACCACTCCTGGGAATATATCCCAGAGAGGCAAAAATGTATAGTCGAAGTGACATCTGCACTTGTTTGTTCATTGCAGCACTCTTTACAATAGCCAGAATCTGGAAAAAGCCTGAGTGCCCGAGAACAGATGACTGGTTAAAGAAACTTTGGTACATCTACACAATGGAGTACTATGTAGCTGTTAGAAAAGATGAAGTCATGAAACTTACATACAAGTGGTACTACAAGGAAAGTATCGTGCTAAGCGAAATGAGTCAGAAAGAGAGGAATAGACATAGAAAGATTGCATTCATCTGGGGAACATAAAGTAACAAAATAGGAGACTAACACACAAGAATAGCCGAGATAAGTACCAGGAGGTTTACCCCACGGCCTGGAGGCCAGCCACACATGCTAGGGATAAAGGCAGCTCAGATAGAGAAGGGAGCACCAAATAAAGGGTGTTGGGAGGATCCTCCCAGGATGGGAGAAGCATGCTGAAAGTAGTTGCCTTCATGCCTCTTTTGCAAACCACAGCACCCAAAAGGAGAGAGAGAACAAAAGGGAATGCCCTGCCACAAAGGCAGGGTGGGATGGGGGGCATGGGGGGTGGGAGGGATACTGGTATCCATGGTGGTGGAAAATGGGCACTGGTGGAGGGATGAGCACTTGATCATTGTATAACTGAAACCCAAGCACAAAAATTTGTAAGTCTACAACTGTACCTCATGGTGTTTCGCTAATACAAATTTAAAAGAATAAATAAATAAATAGCAGTACTCCTACATAAAAAAAGAGGAAAAGGCTCCACTGGGTGCAGAGAGTTGGGACATGACTTCAAGAAGGGGGTAGGGAGAGTGCTCCACTCACAAAATCGTGTTAGCACCTGTCCAGCTCATAAAAACTGAGGATTTATTGATGATGCTAACTTGGATCTATTGATAAAACCAGCCACTGACCAAGGAGGATGGCTGAAATGGAGGCATCTGAAAGGGTTAAAGCTCTCAGCTGACAAGATTATTAATTTCTCTTGATACCTTTTTCATTTTTAATTGATTTTTATTTAAAACACCATTATTTACAAAGCTGTTCACTATACAGTTGTTTCAAGCATTTAGTGTTCCAACACCACCATTGTGACCTTCCTTCCAACAATATCCCCAGTTTCCCTCCCAATCCCAGCATGCTTTTCCCAATCCCATAACAAATTTACTTTATATTGCTCATTCCAACATAATTTTAAGAACTGACAAATAGAACAATCAGAAATAAATCAGTAAGGGCCAATTAGTGGTTACTACAGGACTTTGACCTATGTGAAAGTAAATTAAAACCATTTAATAAAATATTTTAAATGTCCATTCTCATTTACATATATGTGTTTTCAACTCTGGAATGTAAAGTATGTAACATTCAATTTCATTTTATACTTGGATCTCGTTATGGTAGTCATCATGTCTCATCTGTCATTAATAATACTTTTAAGGCAATTCTGTGTTAATATATTTTGGAGTTTATATGAAATAGGTAATAAGGCCTGCCTATGTAAAATTTCCCCTTATGCTTTATATAAACACCATAGTTTACCCCAATTATGAACAGCTTTGTAATGGTCTATCTCACAGATACCCAATTAAAAATGTTCTTTAAAAACAGTAATGTGAAGTTCATGCCCAGCTCAATCAGCTTAATCAATATCTGAATAAATAGCAGTCCTAGCATATTAAAAAAAATAATAAAAAGAATAAACACCATAGTTTACAAAGTTGTTCATGATGATTTGTTACGACACCAATTATATATTATATATCATATATAATTATATTCCAATACCAATCTCATTACACCTTCCCTCCATCACTATCTCCAATTTTCCCATCTACCTTTTGTCTCTGCAGCCAAACCTCACAGCCAGACACCTCCTAGAAAAGAACAAAGGCCGCCAGTCCTTCAGCACAAAAAGCCTGTCCCTGATGTCTCCCTCCTCCAGAGGCAAAGAGACCAGTATGGCCACTCTCCAAAGGGGCCCTGGGTCCAGGAGGAAGGGACCAGGGCAGTTTTCCATCACAACGGCCCTCAACACACTCAATAGGATGGTCCATTCTCCTTCCGGGCGCCACATGGTGGAAATCAGCACCCCCGTGCTCATCAGCTCCAGCAACCCCTCTGTCATCACCCAGCACGTGGAGAAGGAATTGCCTCCTAGCAATCTGGGCCAGGTAAGGAACTGACACCTGGCAGAAGGGTACCTAAGTCCTGGGCCTGCTAAATGCCTACAATGCCTCCATGATTGTGTCAAATGTTTCATGTTGCATGGTGGGTAGTGACCTCTTTCCTCCTGATAGCAGCCTGCGAGTTGGGTATTATTCCTCTCTTGACTTTACAGATGAGAAAACTGAAGCTCTAAAAGGTTAAGCAACTGGTCATATCCTCTCTTTGCCTTGCTTTCCCAGAATAATAGCAGGCACGTGGTCTCTGCCCTCAACCAATGAGGTAATGGTACCCATTTTTCAGAGGGGACTTTGGCATCACCAGTTGAGATTCTCTGCCCATCCGCTGCTGTGGTGTTAGGCATCTTCTAGAAAGGGGAAAAAAAGAAACACTGGTTTCCTGGGGTGTTTTCAGGACTGGTTGCATAAATGGAAAGAACCAATGAAAAGGAAAATTCTTAAGGATGATTAAGACTTTCAAGATGGGGGACTGCAGTGATAATATAGGCATAGGACATTTGCTTGGCACATAGCTGACCCAGATCCGATCCCCTGCATCCTATATACTCTCCTGAGCACCACCAGGGGTAATTTCTGAGTGCAGAGCCAGGAGTAGCCCCTGAGCATCATTGGGTGAGCCCCTCTCCAAAAATAAAAAAAAAGACTTCCAAGATGATGACCACAGCAGAGCAAGTAAGCAATATGTTTTCTTTCTGAACACGGAGCCCTATGGGACTTTACATGTCACACATCCCTGAAGCCACCCTTTGCGTTCCCATAAGGAGCAACTACTAAGGCACAGCCTGAAGTGCTCGGCACCATGGGTGGCACAGGCTCAGCTCACAGATGGGAGAGTCAGGTCACTGAGTCACCAGCTGGGGGGTCAGAAGCTAAGGACTCCTAAGAGCACAGGGCTATTTGGATGGAAGGGCACTTTAAGAGATGAAGGATGGGAGGCAGGAGGCAGAGCAAGGAAGAAGCTCTGGGCATTGGACACACTGCTGAAAACACTCCTTACAATCAGACAGGTGGCAACTTGAAAGCACAAAATTCAATGCACACTGGTGTCTTCTTTTTTTTTTAAACTGTAAATCTTGTTTTTAAACATGAATCTCTGCCTTGGGATTAATGGCTTAATTGGACTCTAATCCCTTTATAACGAGACAAGGGGGAGGAGAGAGTCAAGGGTTGCTGCCAGCCACCTGTGCTGACCTGAAAGGAAAACCATCAAGAAACTTTGTATCTTCTACCCTGGTCTGGATCACACACACATATACACACACACCATGTTTCCATGTGTCCTTGCATAAGACACTTACATTAAAAACCTTTAAACTCCTGGGACTGGAGCAATAGCACAGCGGTTAGGCCTTGAACACTGCTGACCCAGGTTCAATTCCCAGCATCCCATATGGTCCCTCAAGCACCACCAGGAGTGATTCCTGAGTGCAGAGCCAAGAGTAACCCCTGTGGGTGTGACCCAAAAAGAAAAAAAAAAACTTTCAAACTCCCTTCCTATACTTACATTCCAAACATTTTTTTCACAAATCCATACACACTCTGTGCTCTAGATTGTCCCTCAAACACACAACACACCATGCATACACACACACATACACATTCCAAAATGAACACACCATACATACACACACACATACATACACACTCCAAAGTGAGGGCTGAGTAGTGATTAGTTAGACCAAAGAGTAAGAGTTTTTCTGAAGCTGTTCTTAAGATACGGACAGACGTGGCTCCAGGTAAGCTCAGTCCTTTGGGTGCAGGCCTCCCAAACAGTTTAGCCTTCACGTCCTGTGTGCCCTGATAAGTCTTCTTCCTTGTACTTAATCTACAGAGAGACTGACCTAGAGAGAACAATCCTAGTGGAATTCGAAACAAGGAACATCCTTGAGGCTAGAGCGATAGCACAATGGGTACAGCATTTGCCTTGCAAGCAGTCAACCCAGGTTTGCGTTCCGGCACCCCTTATGGGCCTCATGGTCCCCGAGTGTTGCCACAATTGACCCCTGAGCACAGAGCCAGAAAGAGAGCACCTGGAACAAGGACCTCGCTTGGCAGGGACCCTTGTAAAGGACATGTGCATCTCTTGAGTCCCTCGAGATTCAGCAGCATGGGCAAGAGCCTTAAGTCCAGCCTCAGGCCATGCTCCTCTCACCATCCCTGCAGGGAGACGGGGTGAATCAGTAACCACCCTGGGCTCATCTCCATAAAAACAGGGCTAACCTCCACCTCATTAAGTTTCGAGGAAAGTCAAAAGAGGTCAGGTGCTTGACTACCACTATCACTAGTTGATTATTAAAAAGTTTTAGTGGAGCTCAGAGCAATAGTACAATGGGTAGGGCATTTGCCTTGCACGCAGCCAACCCAGGTGCCAATCCCTGGCATCCCATTTGGCCCCATGAGCACCATCAGGACTAATTCCTGAGTGCAGAGCCAGGAGTAAGCCCTGAGCATCTCTGAGTGTGATCCCAAAAGAAAAGCAAATGAACTGAATCAAATTTCTTGGCAGTCAGTTACTAGATTTCTTTTATTCACAATCCTATCCACATTGAGAATTTTTTAAATTTTATTATTTTTTAATGTTTTTTTTTTATTTTTCTTTTCTTCTTGAGTCACACATGGCGGTGCACAGGAGTTACTCCTGGCTCATACACTCAGGAATTACTCCTGGTGGTGCTTGGGGGACCATATGGGATGCTGGGAATCAAACCCGGGATGGCCGCATGCAAGGCAAACAACCTACCCACTGTGCTATTGCTCCAGACCCAGCATTGAGAATTTTTTTATAAAATAAATTTTTAAGCATATAAACTAGCACATGTATTGAAGTTGAAAGAGGAATATAGGAAGGGGCCAGAGCAATAATACAGCGGGTAGGGCATTTGTCTGGCATGTAGCTGACTCAGGTTTGATCCCCAGTATCCCATCTGGTTCCCAGAGCCCTACCAGGAGAGACCCCTGAGCACAGAGCCAGAAATAAGTCCAGAGCACAGCCAGGTGTGGCCCCTAAACAAACAAGAGTATATTGAGCCCTGAAGTACACATCAACCAGTCTCAGCAATTACCCCGAGTGCCAGTCTCATTGCAGTGATATCCTCACCATATACCTTATTCCCAAGTCATGCCCAGAGAGCCTCTCTTTTCATCCATACCCACTGAGGCGTGTAGCCCTTAAAATATTCCAAGAAGACCCAGAGAGATAAGACAGAGGTCAGGCATTTGCATTGCATGGAGCCAATCCCCAGCACCCCATGTGGTCCCCCAGCATTGCCAGAAGTGACCCCTGAGCACACAGCCAGAGAAAGCCCTTAGCTTCTCTGTCAAGTGAGGCTTCCCAAAGCTAAACAAACAAGCAAACAAAAAAGCAAACAAACAGCCCTTTCCGGAAGGAGGCCCTGCGGATATGACTCAGAGGTGAGCACCAGTGGTGCCTGATGTGAGTTTAGTCCCTGGCACAGCCCTATGTCACCAGCTGTCTCAGAGTGCTGCTGTTATTCCTGTGGTCACAAATGTGTCACTGCAACAATAGGAAAATAATCAATTTTTTTAATGATGGTAAAAATGTCCATTTCAGTGTTGAATTTCTAAGATATTACCACATGTTTAAAATACACAGTGGGGTGGGGGTGGGGGCTGGAGCTGTGGTACAATGGGTAGGGTGTTTATCTTGCACATGGCTGACCCAGGTTTGATTCCCAGCATCCCATGTGGTCCCCTAGCACCACCAGGATTTATTCCTGAGTGTAAAGCCAGGAATAAGCCCTGTGCATCGCCAGGTATGACCCAAAAAGCAAAGTAAATAAATAAATAAAAATAATAAAATGCACAGCAGGTGCTGAGAGTGTGGCAACAGTTGTACAATTCTCAGCATCATACTATCTCTCCACCCTCATCCCCAGCACCGCTAAACAAACAAGCAAACAAACAACCCTTTGTGGGAGTACGTGACCCCTATTTTAAATATTCATTTCTTTAAAACAGTAAATATTCTATTTGGTTTCTAAATATTCTTGTAGAGTTGATTTGTTCAAACAGCACTGAAATGAGAAAAAAATCCTGTTTTGTGTTGATATCTTTTGCATTTCTCTTATTCCAGATATCCTTTCTCTCTCTTGTCCTTTCTTATGTACATCTTTTTTTAAAAAGCCAAATCATTTGTCTTGAATTCTCCACATTCCGGGGGCATGTTGCATCTTTGCAGTGTAGCTCACATGGTCCTTCCTCTCCTGAGCTTTCTGTAAACTAGGAGTTAGATCCAAAAGTTTAATCAACCTCAGACTGATTTTCTTTTCTCCTTCTTTCTTTCTTTCTTTCTTTCTTTCTTTCTTTCGCAAAAATATTTTGTAGGTAGAGCTAAGTGCTTCTTTTTGGTGGGTTGAGTTGGGCTTAACAGTTTAGTTCAATGGCTTTTAGTATATTCATAGAGCAGTCCATTCATCATTGCAACTAGTTTTAACACTTTAATTATTCTAGAGAGAAACCCCTACCTCTTAGTCAACAGCGAAGTGCCCGTCAGTCCTAATTTACTTTCTGTCTCTATAGATTTACATCTCTCCATGCAATTTCTATAAGTGGCATTATTTGGTTCTCTGTGGTTCATATTAAAGCCTTCACCATACTATCCCTTTTTATGTTTGATATTTTGTTTTGCTTTGTGTTTGCCCAGACTCAGCTGTGCTCAGGAATTACTCCTGGCTCTGGGCTCAGAGATCACTCCTGGCAAGCTCAGGGACCATATGGGATGCTGGGGATTGAGCACGGGTAGACTCCAGGCAAGGCAAGCTCCCTACCCACTGGAGTATCACCCCAGTCCCTATCCCTTTTACTGGTTCAATATTGTTCCATTTCATGGATAGAGAATTATGTGTTGCTTAACAGTTTTAGCATCAGGCAATCACATGGACTGTACCATGTGTCCTAGTTGTATCATGGTTTCTGCCACCTATGTTTGTATGATTACCCTCTGACATTCCCCCCCCCCAACAAAATGG